CCCCCCCCCCCCCCCCCTCCCCTTCTCCCCATAATTTTTTTTTTTAAATTTTTGCTGAAGACGATTTACTCTAAGGGGCGGAAATGGGATAAGCTCCAGTAGTTTGGGTCATTTGACCTGAAACAGACTTAAATTTCCCTCAGGATATTGGGGATCTCTATTCACCTGATCAGCAACAGGGTAGAGTGGGACTGGGAAAATGGCCGGATTGAATTCAGAAGTTGTACTCATGCTCAATCTCTGAATGAGAGCACATCATTGAGAATAAAACCTACTCTATAATCCGTGATAATTGAAGATTAAATTTAATCCAGAAGCCGTGGAGCCATGTGTTTCAGCTCCAAATCCGGAAGCCGTGGAGCCATGTGTTCCAGCTCCAAATTTTCAAGATGGCGGCGCATTGCATTATGATCTTCTGAGTGATCAAAACCTGCAGAACAGGCGGGCTAGCGCGATACACGAGCGCGCGCGCGAAGCGGAAGGCGAGGAACTTGATGCCTCGAACTTCGCGCGCGCGTTCGTGTATCTCGCTAACCCGCTGATGCGCCTGTTTACCACGATAAATCTACTTCGAAGGCATGTTCCCATCAGGGATATAAGCTATAAAGACAGCGATTAAATTCTTAACTGCTCTGAACTGAAACAAATCGCTCGAAAATCACACGACAGCCGAGAGAGATTCCATCATTGAATCAAGCTTACTAGTAAACAGTCAAGGGGGATATAAACCGTAAAACGGTTCTTTAGTATAATGGTTATCAGTTTAAAGTGTTACGGATATTTGATGCTTACCTTCTTGGCAGGAAAAGAACAAAATTTGAAACACGACACAGCTGAACCTTCGAACGAGCGAACAGGCGCAGAACATAGTTATCACGTGACGGTCGAGTGTTCGAGCACTACCAAGGGGGATTGGTAGTGCGCGTTGGTTCCAGTCCCGACCACTTGTGTTTTGTGAAGAAATCCTCGGAAGAATCACGCGCTAAACGTTCATCTTACATACAAAGATGTCGATCGTTTTCGGAACGGGTCGGTCCACGAAAGCCTGCCATATTAATAAGCAATGTTCATGTGAGGTTCGTACAGGGGTATTCTCGTGATGTGTGATTAGCTGATTTTATTTTCCGGGAAACGTAAATTTAGGAAATCATTCTTCGTGACTCGTGACCTAAACGTTTTGCGTGACTTGTGAAGAACCTGAATTACTAACCGATATTCGCGATTTTACCACTCTATTCTACGGGATTTTATGACGCAAGTCCTCCGAATGGTTAGAGTCGTCTATCAAGAGTGACTTAGGTATGCGATTTGCAAAATGGAGCCTGGACTTTGCCATTCGCGATTTTACTTTCTTCAAACACAGCTTCTACTATGAGAACAGGTCATCAAAAAGAGTATCTTACTTGCTTATTTTCGTGATTCAGGGAAACGAAATTTTTATATCCGTGATCCGTGATCCTCTATTTTTTCCGTTCGTGAACCGTGCCAGAGACCCCCCTGTACGACTCTCAAGTGAGCCATGTACGAGTTCAAACTACAACACTGTTAAAAATCTATGACTACTGAGACAAACACCTCAGATGTTGAAAAAAGCAAGAATCGTCGCAAATAGAATTTGAAGATGACCGCGGAAAAGCGATTGCGTGACATTTGATAAGTTTTATCCGACATGTTATCAGGTATCGAGGAAAAGGGTGTTGTTGTTCATCGTGGAAGATGCAATAATAAAATGTATTATCGTTTGTCACACGATGTAGTCACTTTAGATGTAGATCGCGACGTTTCGACTGCTTACTGCTAGTCTTCTTCAGNNNNGAAGAAGACTAGCAGTAAGCAGTCGAAACGTCGCGATCTACATCTAAAGTGACTACATCGTGTGACAAACGATAATACATTTTATTAATGTTATCAGGTATTTGATAAACAGTCTTTGTTCTCAGTCTGCGTTTTTGTACTTAGTCTGCAGTCTGCAATTTGTGTGGAAAAGTGAAACCTTGAAGCCGAATGGCTCGTAGCTGCCGGAGCTTATCCCGGTTTCTGTAGCATGAATCGGCTAGGAGTATTACTACTCCCCCTGGACGGGATGCAAGTCCATCGCAGGTCACTCCCCCGCAATTTGTTAGGTTTCCCTAACAATTCGCCGGTACCCATTTATATTCCTGGGTGGAGAGAGGCACTGTGGGAGTTAAGTGTCTTGCCCAAGAACACAACACAATGTCCCCGGCCAGGGCTCGAACCCGGACCACTCGATCCGGGAACGAACGCACTAACCATGAGGCCACCGCGCCTCCCAATTTGTACCTGGTCTGCATTTTGTACTCGGTCTGCAGTCTGCAGTCTGCTTTTTGTACTGACCTTTTTTTTTAACTCAAAAGCTGGGCCGGGATAATTATAGTACAAAGCACTTGCTTGATTTTTGTCCCCATGGCTACCCGTGCACGATCTTGTTTTCGGTCGTTTTTTCTCCGCAGGAAATTGTTTTTGAACATTGCTTAAAATCCCTACCCCCCCCCCCCTTCCTTTACCCCTTCCTCCTCGAGAAAAACAATAATGATCCGTCCCTTAGTTGTTAAAAGGTTGTAACAATGATGACGTGTATGTCACGTCATACTAATGTACAGTACTAATCAGATTTTTAAGGTCGGCACACAGTTCTGTCCATTTCACTCTCCAAGTTAAGTTGTTTAAATACGTTGTTATCTATCACCAAAAAGAACCAAATCCACTTCGGTTCTTTTCAGGTATTTATTTCTTTAGAAGCATTTTCCTTGAAGAAAATGTAGATCAAGATTAAATTAAAAGCAAACTGCAGAGAAGCCACTGAAAAAAATGGTTTATTCACTCTTTTTGGTTTTGTAAAGTGTTGGGTTTGGGAACCCTATAATGAGCGGAACGTGCCAACCTGTTTGTGTCTACTGAAGACTTGACAAGTCCATCATGCAATCCGACTCATATCCTGACGCTCCGCTCAAACGGAGGTCAGAGCAGCGGTAAATAAATTTCAACATAGCTTTGTAGGTCACCTCGAAATAGACAGCCTAGCCTAGCCACAAAATGTTTGTCTAATGATTAACCAATCCAAAGACTTTATGGTTTTCAGTGTCACGCCATTCAAGATCAAAATAAAAATCAAAACCGTTCAATAGATAAAGTCTAGAATCTGGGAAATGAAAGAAGGTAAATATGCAAAGACTGGTATCCGTATGGGCACCAACATGGCGGCCGGAAACCAACAGAAACATCTGTCACAGAGTTTTGCGACAAAAGCGTGAATTTATCCCTCGAGGAACTCTAAAACACAAAAATAATACTTTTTCTAAGACATGAACTGTTCAGATAGCCAAATTTCCCGAAATAAGTCACTTTTTAAAGCATCATGACAGCTCTCTAAATGCCGCGTCACGCAAAAGCTTAGAAATTCAAGCGTAGTGTATCACAAAACCAAGAACCCATTCGGAGCGAAAATTTGTATGAATATTAGTTTTCAGCTGCTCTTATACGTCATTAAAGGAAAATCTCAGGAAGATCAATAGTTTTGTAGTTTGAATTTTAGTGACGTCATGTGAAAACCAACTATAGCTCCATCACTCCATTTTACAGAGTGACGACAGGCACAGAACTTGGTTTTACGTATTTTGATTGGGTAAACATTTTGTGGCGTACCGCGTAATTGCCAAAAATAGCACATCCGCAATTTCCCCGAAACCATAGCTACCTTTCTTAAACGGGACTATCCGAAATAAACATCGACGTTACGCAGAACTGCTTGGTTTTTAGGCATTGCAAGGGAGTTATCATGTCCGAAGGCAATGATCAAACGAGACTGCTTGACGAATTTTTCAAGTCTTTAGGAGAAGTTGACGAGGAAAGTCAGAAATGGAAGGAATACCATGAAAGTGTCAACAAAATGATGCAACTGTTGTTTGACTTCATGGCTAGCAGAACCGGGGATATCGCGAAAATCCAGCTTTATGGCAGCTCGGCCGAAAACTTAAAAAATTATTCCTTTGATGACGTTGGAGATCTCGACTTACTGTTAGTTCTTGGTAACGATTATGCTGTCGATGAAGCCAGTTTGGAATACTTACCCACAAATCCAGCATTTGTGAAGATAAAAGGAACTGGGCATCCACTGCTGCAGTCATTTCAAGCTGAAGACACAGAATACATATCTGCTGCAGATGTAAAGGAGTTGAATCCCTTTGTTGATGTCGCTTTGTTCAGTCTTACTTTCTTTCCTCGATTATTTAAAGCCGTGACGTCTCATTTTCCTGCGCCACCGTTTAACTCCACTTTGCGCGAAAGGGACACTTTTAGCCCTGCTTTGACAATGGACTTCTCCGCAATAATGGAGTCTCCCAACATTTTGTCTCGACGTCTTGAACAATTGAAAGAGCTGGACATTGAGAATGTCGATCCCAGGGAACTAGAGATACTACCTGCATCGCTGTGCTCGATAAGGAATGTAGATTATACTTCTCATCATGCAGAATTGTTCGACGAATTTTTGCAACATTTTAAGGATTCGGTGCAATCGCTCCGTAACAATCCAATGGGTATTCTTCCAGGAATTCCCAACTTCGCTCGCGATATTTGCTTTAGTGAGAAAGCAAAAGAGATAAGAAAACGATTTTACCACATCGAAAATCACTCGAGAATCAAAAGCAGAAGTAAAGCGGAGAGCAGCGCCTCAATGGTCGTCACGCCAGAAGTTGAGGTCGTCGATGACATTCAAAACAAATCGTGTATGTGCAAACAAGTTGACAAGGCAGTTTCATGCAGAGATTGCGCAGATAAAGCGAATTCAAAACAGGTAATAGGTGAGGAAGGAGTGGTAGGCTGTGTTGGCGCGACCCGGGAAATTAACAGCTATGACAACTCTATAAACGCCGAGCTACAATCTCAAGATGACGTCCATGTTGTAACTGAACCAGACATTCAAAAGACTCGCGAAGGTCCGAAAGACGGCTTTTTTAGTCAAACATTTCAAAGCCTTTCGGAAGAAGATATGGCCGCATTCCTGGAGTGGTTGGTGGAGGAAAAGGCAGAGGATTTCTTCAATTTCATTGACACGGTTGAACCAGTAAAAGAGCTACAATCCCCCTTTACAAAGGAATCAGAAAAATGTACCCAGGCGTTGTCATTTGACATTGTTCCAGCCCTCCAAGCTCGAGGATGGCCCAAGGTTGCTCGAGAGTGGATCAAACGAAAACGAGCATGGCCACCCCCTGACACCATACACAGAATTATTCAAGAGGGTTTCCACCTAGTGGTTAAACCTCCCAAAAGCGGCGGATGCCCTGAAACTGACTTCAGACTGTCTTTTTCGCACGCGGAGTATCTGTTAAGTCGAGAACTGAACGACATGCAACGCCAATGTTACCGTGCTCTCAAGAAATATTATAGCCTGTATCTTCGAACAGAGCCGAAGTGCTTGGTGACGTACCATCTCAAGACACTTTTCTTGCAAACTTGCGAGAACTCTGGAGAAGGGATGTGGACGGAAGACAACAGGACTGCCTGCATGATGAAGCTGCTGAAGAACCTTCACTACGCTCTCACAGAAAAATGCCTGAGACATTTCTTCATCACAGATTGCAATTTGTTCGATATGGAAAATATCGAAACTCCGCATGTTTTAGATTCACTTGCCGAGAAAGTTGAACAGTTCATGAGAAACCCAACAGAATGTTTGCCAGAGCTGATCCCGGGAACAAGACCACTTGATGTGCTTTCCAAATGTAATGAAGAAGGGACGACAAAACCGCTGGAAGACCCTGGGGCTTCCTCGAAAGATACCTTAGCAAGAAGTGACACAGAACAGCGTGGACAGCTTGTAACAAAGAACCAGGAGAACACGTACAGTTCATCTCAAAACATGTCTTCAATGACAATGTCACATACAAGTACTGATGAAGACACGATCAGAAAGAACAATTCCGGAGAAGTGGCAACGAATATTTGGCAGGGCGCTCGATTCCACGATTTGAAAGATCAGTACAATCACATCTGTCTTAACCTGCTCACAAAAGCGGCTGAAGATGGTAACATGGAGGAACTCGATCCACTTGAAAGATCTTTGGTGGAAGACATCAGAGAGCTTACCAACGTGTACAATTTTCACCCTCAGAGGCTATTGGAACAGTTCGAGAAACGGTGGCAAAGCACATACGCATGGATATTTGCAAGCTGCGAGTTCTACACGAAGCAGTCTATGTTGGCTGGCATTAAAAACAATGTGAAACTGATCAAGCACATGGTTTTGCAGGATGGGTTGATCGGCTCTCCCAGGGATTATAGTCTGGTATTTCCCGTTGATACCTTTGTGAACAGCTATAGAAGAATGCAAAGAATCCTAAAGAGTACGAAGCCAAAGGAAGATGACATTCCATTGGACTAGCTAGTAGTTCTTGTTGGCTCTCGAAATAGTAACAAAGAGAAACCCTTTAAGAGAAATTGTTCCTCAAAATCCATGCCACGATTCCTGCTATATCGGAAACAGTTCTCATAACCTACCAAAATAGTATAATTAATAATAATTATGTAGTTAAAAGGGAAATCCTGGCTATCTGTTAATAAATGCTCAGATAGCAATGCTTGTTTCCAATAGCTTTGCCACTGATTTTACATGTTCTAGAAGAATGAAGAACACAAGCAGTGTAGAGAACCAAGCCAGCCCATGGCCAAAATAGATCACAGCATTAAGCTTACAGTGCTCATAACCTATCAAAATAGTATAATTAAGAGTAACCATTTAGTCACCTTTTTGAGGGAAATTCGGACTATATACTAAAAGGTGCTCAAAAACTAATCACAATTAGCCAAATTTCATGATGTAGGATGGCGACGTTCGTCAGAGATTTTAAAAGGGAACTCCTAATTGACACCAAAACAATGGGGTTTTTCCTTGCGGCGCGCTCTTCCAATCTTTGGGAACGAGATTGATTCGTGACGAATTTTACTTGATACGTCGAAATGTCCTAACATGGTACAAGCAACCTCGTTCCCTCTCAATGTCGCATATATATGCAGTGTTTCAGCTAGAAAATTTTACTTGAGGACCAAAGTGGCCCCTGAAGATCTTTTTTAGGGGCCAATTTTTTTAAGAAAGGGGCCAATAAACTGAAAGCTACAGAAGGAAAAAATGCATCAGGGTACCAAGGAAAATAAAGCAGTTTATTAGGATCTATGATAAAATTTAATAGTAAGTGCTTTTAAAAGGGTTTCTACTCAATAAAGTTTCTTTTGAATCAGATACTAGTATGAAGGATCCGTGCATTACAAGAGAACAATCCTTACGCATACATGACGTAGTCAATGATCAAGGGTTTGCAATGCATTATAGGGCGATTTCAAACTCGGTCAGCCATTTNTAAAGCCAGCCTTGAATGAAAACGTTGGCAGTGAAAAACTTTTTCTTTACTAGCATTTTGTATTGTTATTATTATTATGGTAATTTTTTTTTTTTTCTCCCGCAGACTCATCTGTTTGTTATTAACTATTAGTCTTGTTACATATTATTAGATACCAGTCTTTTTCTTTTTCTTCGCATTTAAATTTCGATTGTAATCTAGTTAACGGTCACTTCTGAAGATGTATGTTGTACATACGAAACGTCAAGGAAATTAACTTTGTTTAACATGCGTTTTGGTTCCATGTTTATCACCGCGGTTTGTGTTTTGTTTCTTCTAAAGCTACGATGGCCAAGGAAAAAGAGTTTTTACATTATCTCTCTCCAGCTCATAGAATCACTTCGAT